TTGCTTATCTTTCGTTTGTAACTAGAGTCTCGAGACACATGTCATGCATCTGATTTATTGGTAGTCCCACAACAGAATGTGATATGGGGAAATGCCTGGCCTTCCTTGAAATTCATATTTGCCCTGTGACCTAGGGGTATAGTGGTCAACGTGTCAAGATTATACGCTGCACTGTCATGATTCGAGTCCGGCTGTCGGTGTTGATAAGACCTAAGCGAGGTTTAAACTGCAGTCCACCATGAATAAGAATATTTTTTGAAGAAAGACTATGTGAAATCCAAAAGAAATATAAGATCTACTCATATCATTGTGGGAAAATTCAACTACCTGTCCCTTTACGAAATAGCGAGAACACATCTCACAAATCTGATCTACAAATAGTCTCTAAGGCCTTCTCACAAGTGAAAAATAAGACTCAAATGGCTCTGTTGAGCTTTCCTTCCTCTCGTCGTGACAGATATCGTCCTTTATTGTGCCTAATCCTTCAATCTTACACAAGCATCCAATGATTAGACTGGCTACTCTTATCTAATCTTGTCTCTTAGTTCAGTATATCACTGTTTTTTCCATAAATAATTATTTGTGGCTCCGAGGGTATCCATACTCTGATAGAGTACAGCTCTGCATGAGTTCATCAGGGTCACAGGATGATGAGACGAGGACTTCTTCGTACACTCTAACGGTATCCACTCTATACCAATCCTTTAGGGGTTTACGGTAAGACCTATTCCCTAGCCTCTTCCATCCAACCTTGCCTTTGAAATGAAATGTTTTTCCAAAGACGTTCGCAATGTCAAACTTAATATAAGAGCACATATCACCTTCTGATTGGTTTCTAGTGGGTGAGCTGGCTTGATCCGATAGGTCAGTCCATTAGAACCAAGGGGGGGCTCGTGTGTGGATGACTACTTTGAGTTCTTACTTCCATTTCGAGTGAAAGCGTTTGGTGACAATTGACAACTGGTCAAGAGGAATCCGCCGTCGTCTTCTAGTGGAATCGACCTTTGAATCTCTTCATCAAACATTTTAACTCGAAATGGAAGTAAGCACAACAATTATGAAATAAGAGATTCCTCGAAACCCAACTTTTCTTCGCATACTTCACTGTGTGAGCCATGAGTCACCAGCCATGAGTCTTTGCTTGGACTGATAATGCGTTAGGCGACGGTTCTAATACCATGTAAGGAAAAATAGTTGTGAGTTGTCATTATAATTAAATCTTGTAGCAGTCGTCAAGATGCCGCGTTATCGTGTGGTACAACTGGGAATGATAGGGACTTTAGCCACGTTTAACTGGAAGAAAAGGTTACATTTCTAATAAAATGTGCAGCATTATGCAGCCCTAACGAGAGTTGCATGCTGGCCGGACGAGTCTAGACCTAATTGCAACTTCGAACGAGCGCCCAAAGCGAGATTCGAGCCGCGGATGTACAGCAGGTATATGATTTAATGTAAGTTATGAAAGCTAAGATAATGTGACCTCTGTTCTGGTCGCGGCCACCTTTCGCGACTTGGTTGTGGCGTCAGGACGATCTTGAAGAAGGCGCCTCCTCTAGCATAATACTCGTATAATTTGCATTATGAGACCGATGACTTGGCACATTTCGCAAGCGTCGGTGAGTCTTGCCAGACTTAGCGTCGAGTTACGACACGTCCGAAGGACAACTATGGCCAATCTTAAGCATTAATGCTCTATTGGAAATTGGGAGATAAGGATGCAGTGCTAAGAGATAGGACTCGTACTAGGAAAGGGGAGAGGAGAGCTGTCATTATGGATGAACACAAAATGGATCAAGCGATATGGATAGAAACTGGGCTTCGAAGAGCCCCCTGGTAAATGCATGTTGTTATATCTTCCATTTAGTTGAAAATGCGGGCGAAAATGCTTCGTAAATTGGCCTCATTCCTCAATCTCCAATATAAGATTAGTCGAGGTTTTCCCTTACTTGTCACCTTGACGAATTGTAGCTTGGCGCCAATACTGGCAAGCCTCATCAGTGATGCCTGCGGAATGTAAGGAAAGGCATTAATTGATTGCTTTGATTCTGCCTGTGATCGTGACTTTTATGGTAGGGGATGTAGTATCAGGTACGGCGCCACGGTCAAGTCACGAAAACAATGTCAAAACAAATAAATGGTTGCGCTATTGACGGTGAATTCCCCACAAAAGCTGGGCTTCCAGACAGGCCTCTTTTGCCCTGAAAGCCGTATTTTTATGGTGACGAGACGGCAACCTATCTGCCTCTGAACCTGCACACCCATCGTTCGAGTCCCGCTTGGGTTCTAAGGGCCTATTCAGCGAGCTCTGACATACAGTCCAGGCCAGATGTGAACGGACCTCCAGTAGGCATAATTTAGTTCAATATAAATTCAAGTAAATACCTTCTCAATCGACTTTGAGCAGAAAGAATGTTAGCATCACTTGCACTAGACAAGATTGGGGCATATTAACAATAATATATTCCCCGATAGTACCAAAACTGTTCTGGTAGCTTTGGAACTACAGCTTAAGCAACAAGACGAGAGTCCTGAGTGCAAGCATCAAAAGGGGTAGGTAGGACTGCCCAGATTCGGCCTGAATACAGAACAGACCGGCATATTTCGGTGGGCATGCTCATTAATAGGTGTGGGGGGTAAGTGTTGTTATTGTCAGTACTTTTCTTAATGGCTTTCCAGCCTCTTGAAGGGCAAGTGTATAGTCTGAAATGAACATTTTGCGTTCGAGCCTGCATCCCATCTGACCTAATGGCCCCTTACTTCCACCCCAAAATCAGTTGGATCGGCTTACACTGGCCTGGAGCTCCCTGAAGTTGAATCAGATCGGCGCTCGTCTCATGCTCTTGGTGGACCGTGTGGGTGGCAATGGGGTCCGCAAGAAAGGTATGGCTCTGTCGGAGGTTGACTCTAAACAAGCCCCCAGCCAGGACGAGAATGTGGAGACGGC